CAGTTTGAGGGACAATTGTGGGGTCAGTCCACCAAGCAAGGCTGATACATTGGCCTATTCAAGTTGATCAAATCTACAACCTTGCTTATTAGAATTATGCTCCAAGCTATTGAAGGGTTTGACAGTTCGCTTCCTAATTTTTGTATTTTTGCATTTTATAGATCTTACACCTTTCCCATAGAAGTGCACACTAAAATTGCTCTTGTAAATCGCTAACTATTCATAATATTTTTGTTACTATTTGAAGTGAGTTTATCCAGTTTTGCTTGCTGAGGTTCTTTTGAGTCAGCCCTTATTAAACACACACACATACACACCACTCACACACACACCCCCCTTCCCTTTTTTATACAACTCTGATGTATGTCTCTTAGGTTATTTTCTTGGGGCCATTCTGTTATTCTCCTAAATTTTAAAGAATTCCAATGATAATAAAGCAGAAGTTCATGTCTAGCTTTCTAACTATTTGTATTTTTCAGTGAAATTGATACGTACCTTGAAAAAATGTGAACATGTCTGAAAATGACTACTCCTCATGTTCTTTGTGTTGCAGTTGGGTTGCGTATGAGAAGCCTGGATTTACAGGTCATCAGTATTTGCTAGAAGAAGGAGAATACAGGGACTGGAAAGCCTGGGGAGGTTACAATGGAGAGCTTCAGTCTTTACGACCTATATTAGGTGTAAGTAAAGGACAAGCTAATGGCTAATACTTGGTTGTCTTTGGATAATAAATGGCTAGTTTTTGAATTTTGAATTTTTTTTCTCAATAGGATTTTTCAAATGCTCACATGATAATGTACAGTGAAAAAAACTTTGGATCCAAAGGTTCCAGTATTGATGTATTGGGAATTGTTGCTAATTTAAAGGAGACTGGATATGGAGTGAAGACACAGTCTATTAATGTACTAAGTGGAGTGTAAGTGAAATAATCCAACTGGAATTTTAAACATGGGTTTTATCTTGGTTTGTTTTAAACTGGTAAGAGTCTATGACAGAGTAGGCATTCAATAAACAAATATCTCAACAGCTGAACATTAAATCAGTCATGTAATAGTTGCTGTCATGATATTTTCGTTAACTCTCTTTAAAAATCTTTCTCATACTGTCTCTTCATTTTACGCTTGGGGTAGGCTTTGGGTATCATGATAGAAATCTACAGATCTGCTTCCCTTGTCATTTGGCATGGAAAGATCGTGAATTTTTTAAACGATGGAGATCAAATAATAATAATAATAGTAGTCTAACATAAACCTGAGACTGGGTCAAAGTCCCGTTAGATTTTCCTGTGGTCCTACACCTGTTCCAGTGTATTTCTTCACTATTAGTTTGACATAAAAATAATTGTTCTATGTACGTGGAGTTAGCAATTGACTGTTTTATTAGTGGTAAAGCAAGTTTTTATTGAAAGATGTTTAGTCAAGATTATCTGGGATGAAGTGATTGCAAACCAAGCTAAATTGGCTCAAGGGATTAAAATGGAACTTACTGGCTTAAGTAACTAAAAATGTCCTGGAGAAGATTTTGCTTCAGGCGTGGCTGGATGCAGGGGATCAAACACTGTTATCAGAACTTGGTCTCTGTGTCTTGACTGGGCTTTTTTCTGTGTTAACTT